AAATACTTTTTGAATAACACGGTCGTCTACCAGAATGCAGTGGTGTCTGCTCTGATTATTTCTCATGTTTTAGGCTTCAGTCAAGAAATCTGCAGCTGGTGCATGCCGCGCTTCTCCTTCACAATCTGCAACAGTCCTCAAGAATGTGCAGCATGTTGGATGTAAACAAAAAGTCCATTCAGTTCCTGAAATGCAACAGAGGAAGACCAGATGAGCAAGCATCCTACGCCGTGTGTGTGTGTGAGGGAGGAAACGAGGACAAACCAAGTTCACAGAGGTCGCGTAGGAGCAAATGACTTCAAGCTCACAGTGCACGAGAGTTTGTGCGTATAATTCACACTCCTGTTTATTCAAGCGTCGCCTTTGTTTTGCTGAATTCCTGGTGCCTTTTTTTTCCAGCAGGTGTGCATTAATGTAGGGCAGAGGTCAGGACAAGCTGGGAGAACAGGGCGTTATGGGATTTGTACAGTGACTCGGGAGAAATCAGCGTTGTGCCTATTTCAGCTAGTACAACAGAGATTGCTATGGCTACAATGAGTTCTAAATGTGGAAGACTGAAAATTCAGGAACAGAATCCGAGTCTCTTTCCAATATTAGCGCATGCTAATCATCACACTTTGGTCCTCGTTTATCAGTAATGTCCAGAAGTCTGGCCTTAAAGGGTTAGTTCACCTAAAAAATCGAAATTGTGTTATTAACTACTCTCTTTTGTGTCGTTTCAAATCTTCAGAACATGAATGAAAATATTTTAGGTGAAATCTGAGAACTCGCTCAGGTGTTCCCGACTTGTTCAGAGTCCAGAAAGGTACCTAAAAACACCCTAAAACAATCATATGCCTTTAGTGGTTCAATCAGATTATCATCAAGCTACAAGAATACATTTGTGTGCGTATAAAACAAAAATAATGACTTTATAGATCAGTGTCAGTATATTGTGCACTGATGTATACCCTGGATGCCTGTGTTTGACTTCCTTTGCATGAAACCAAACACAAGTGCATCTGATAAGCAGCATGACAGGTCAACATGCACCCTATACTGACACTGAGGAGAAGAAACTGCCCAGCAACCTTTTTTTTTTTTTTTCTAAAAGATGTCTAATAGATGTCAAAATAAAGTCAGCTTGGCTAAAACAACCCTAAATTTAGGCTGTCGGTGAAAATCAAATTATATGCCAAAATTACACCAGTCATCAAATAAACAGAAATGAATGACTACACATATAAAGTCTGTCTATTTGATGACTAGTCTAATTTTGGGCTAGTCTTAGATGGCTATTAGATTTTCACTGACAGGCCAAGATTAGACTTGTTTTAGCCAAGCTGTCCGCATTTAAATGTCTATTAACCAAAATTGTTCACTGGATGTTGAAGTCCTCAAGTGTGCACCGATGTATTCTTGTAGCTTAATAACATTTCAAGAGTTCACACTTAGCTGATAATCAATAAAGCGTATTTGGCATGCTGTCCCGGGAGAGAGCCCTGAGCTCGTAATATCCTCGAGCCCGGGGCTCCCTCCCGTTAGAAGGGCGAGAGGGGAATTCGAGGTCAGGTAGGTCTCGAGAACTCCCCTGCTTGTCCCCGTGAGAAGTGTAAACTCAGGTTGTATTGGGTGATAATTTGTTTTAGTCGATTGCTATGGTTTATGTTTTTGGAAGGTGGGAGGAAACCGGGGAACCCGGGGAAAACCCACGCGAACACGGGGAGAACATGCAAACTCCACACAGAAACACCAACCAGCCCGATGGGTTGGACTAGCGGTGTTCTTGCTGTGAGGCAACAGTGCTAGCCACTGGGCCACCGTGTCGCCCGATCAGAAAAAGTGGGAGGATGTAGGGGTGGAAGGGGGGGAGCTTCAAGACAAAGATAACTGGAGTGGAAAACTCAGGTTATTTATAATGCTTCCGTAATCATCTAATAGGGCTGATTACGGAGCTAACAAGGAGCCAGCCGTGTTGATTATAAGCACGTGATCCTCTCGAAATTAGTTTATGAATAAACCACACTTCGATTGAACCACTATTGGTCTGTTTCGAAGATGATTTATGGTGTTTTTCTGGATCTTGAATGAGTCGGGAAAACTTAATTTGTGTTTTGAACACAAATGAAGGTCTTTGGGGGTTTGGAACGACATGAGGTTGAGTAATTAATAACAGCATTTTCACTATAGAGTGAACCAACCTTTACATTTTCTAAATCTTTCTCTGACCAACCCGAGGTCTCTAGAAGAAGTGCAGACTGTAAACTACAGACTGCTACTTTGATTTGTCACAGACGATCCAGTGGTGATAACTAGAGGTCTACTGATAACAGTTTTGCTGATGTGAATAACTTCACTTTAAAATGCATTAGTTTTAAAAGTAACAGGTTAACTCCCTTTTTAAAAAGCGATTAGTTTACTACAATACCTGACAAAAGTCTTGTCATCCATCCCAGTTGTAAGAGAAACAATTAATAACTTGACTTCTAGTTGATTGTTTCGAAAAGTGACAAAAGGTTGATTTTTTTTATTTATTTATAAGACCCAATAATAAGGTCTATTCATAGACCCAAGATTCTCACCGTAATCAATCAAGTTTGGTTTAGGAAAATCATGGTTTAGGGTTACATTCAGTATGGGGGCATGTGAAAGCTCTGCAAAGTGGATGGCAACATCAACAACCTGAGGTATCAAGACATTTGTGCTTCCCATTACATTACAAACCACAGGAGAGGGCAAATTGTTCAACCTGAAAGCAATGAAGGTCAATATGCTTCAGGACTGGCCAGCTCAGTCACCAGACATGAAAATTATTTAGCATTTCTGGTGTAAGATAGAGGTATTGAAGATTAAATTAAAGGATCTTGATGAACTCCTGCAAGAACATTTTCTTTGTCATTCCAGATGACTTTATTAATAATGTATTTGAGTCACTGCAGAGATGTATGGATGTAGTCATCCAAGCACATGGGAGTCAAACACAACATTAATTCTTTTTCCACTGCACCATGATTTGATATTCTATACTGTTCGTTATTTCTGTTAAGTGACAAGACTTTTGTTTAATCAAAAGCCAGACCTTTCTGTCCTAATTAAATAATTAAAAATCAAGGCTTGATAATATTTTATTTAGGTAAAATATGCCTAAATAGGCCTTTGGTTTTCATATAAGCCACTTCTGATACCAAATGATCAACTAAAAATCCAGTTATTATTTGTTGTTCTAAAACTTGGATAGGCGACAAGACTTTTGTCAGGTAAAAGTGAGTAAACTCATTAAGCTTTCAATAAATGATTAATAGGCACAAATATAAACATTTAGTCAACTTAACAGTTCCAAGTAACAATGGGTTTTGGCTACTCCAACAATGCAAAAAATGCTTTTCTTGCTGAGATTTTTTGTCTTTTTTCTAGTCTAAATATCTAAAATTTCTTATATCAAGAAGCATTTTTTAGACAAGCAAAACATATTGCCTTGTTTTGAGAAATATTATGCCAATATTAAGTCAATTTTTCCTTAAAACAAGCAAAATAATCTGCCAATGGGGTAAGCAAATTAATCTTGTTTTTTCTTTTGACGTAAGATTATTTTGCTTACTCCATTGGCAGATTATTTTGCTTGTTTTAAGGAAAAATTGACTTAATATTGGCATAATATTTCTCAAAACAAGGCAATATGTTTTGCTTGTTTAGAAAATTCTTCTTGATTTAGGAACTTTTAGATATTTGGACTAGAAACAAGACAAAAAATCTAAGTAAGAAAAGCATTTTTTGCAGTGAAGTTAAGTCAACTTAAGGGCTTTACTTACTTTTTAGTATACTTAATCAATTTTAAACTACAGTAATTGAAGTTTCAAGAGTTCACATTTATCTGATGAGTGATTATAAAGCAAGTTGGGCATGCTGTCCCGGGAGGGAACCCTGAGCTCATAAGATCCTCCAGCTCAGGGCCCCCTCCAGTTTGCAAGGCAAGAGGGGAGTTTGAGCTCAGTTAGATCTCGATAACTCCCCTGCTGTTTGTAGCTAATGAGCAAGTAGGGATTGTTATGAAGAGATAACTGGTTAATAGGAGCTCGTCTATAGTGGTGATTTGTATTAGTCAATTCACTTAATTTGCATGTTTTTGAATGGTGGGTGGAAACCGGGGGAATCCTACACAAGCACGTGGAGAACATGTAAACTCTGCACAGAAACATCAGCTGGCTCGGTAAGGACTAGAAACAGTGACATTCTTGCTGTGGGGTGACAGTGCTAATCAATGAGCTGCCGTGCTGCACATCTAGGAAAGGAGAGGAGGGGAGAAAGGGGGGGATTTTTCAAAACAAAGATGATTGTGGTCTGGACCTTCGGTTATTTATGGAAACTTTGGAATTTTCTGATTGGTGAATCATGAATTGGCCAATGTGGGATCAGCCCTGATCAATCATAATCATGTGATCCTCTCGAACTTAGTTTATAAATAAACTTCATTAAGTGCTTAAAGGGATTGTTCACCCAAAAATGAAAGTTCACTCATAATTTACTCATCATCTTGCTCAAGTGATTAAAGAGTTTAAAGCTTGTCTCTTCTGTAGTTTCATTTCATTTACATTTAGTCATTCAGCAGACGCTTTTATCCAAAGTGACTTACAAATGAATTCCATTCCATTGTAATAATCAACTTTGCTGCCGTACTATAGCTGCAGCAGGCACAAATATATAATGCAGCGTCAGAAAAAAGTTCTGAATCATCTCCCACAAAAGTCTCCATGGTGGTCACATTGGTTAAATTAACGAAAATTAGCTGATTTTTCAGGTGCTGTATAATATTGTGCCTGCAAAGTACAGCAAAGTTCCTTGATTATTACGCAGGAGTTGGTATAGTTCAGGGGTCACCAATCTCATTCCTGGAGGTCCGGTGCCCTGCAGGGTTTAGCTCCAACTTGCCTCAACACACCTGCCTGGGTGTTTCAAGTATACCTAGTTAGATCTTGATTAGCTTGTTCAGGTGTGTTTGATTAGAGTTGGAGCTAAAATCTGCAGGACACCGGACCTCCAGGAACAAGTTTGGTGATCCCTGCTATTGTTCATAGCCATACCAGCTTACAAAATATCAACTTTTCATTTTCCGTCAGTCTTAGTACACAATGTTCTACAGAAAAGTCAAGCTTTAAACAGGAAAATTATCAAAACTATTCAATAGTATCTAGATGCAGCCTTTATGATGCAAGCTGAGATTCCATTACTCAGCGATGCAATGTCAGACACAATGCACCCAATGGAGTGAGGGACGTCACTGTGACGAATAGGGTAGGGGGTGAGGTTAGGCGAGCGCATTAAAAAGCATTGAATGCAGCTCAGATTGCACTGCACCAGGTCTGCATCCAGACCCTTCTCAAACTATTTGATCTAATTATGTAATCCGATTCAATGATCTATGCTAAGCTAAGCTAAGCTAAAAGTGCTCCTGCCAGACCCAGAGATTGGTTGAATTGATTAAAAAATGGTAACACTTCACAGTTTATTTCTTGTGGAGTTGTAAAGTTAGCCTGTTTACAAAAAGTGGAGTGTTTAAATCAGTGTTTCTCAACCATGTTCCTGGAGGACCACCGGCTCTGCACATTTTCCATGTCTCCTTAACCAAACACCCCTGATTCACATCATCAGCTCATTAGCAAAGACTAAAAGACCTGTAATGGATGTGACAGATAAATGAGACTACCCAAACATGCAGTGTTGGTGGTCCTCCAGGAACATGGTTGAGAAACACAGCTTTAAATGATAGTTCAATGAGATGTTTATCAATCAGCAAAAACAACTGACTGGTCGACCTCTAGTTATGACTGTTAGTAGATCTTAAAGCCTTTCGATGTTCTAACCCCAGACTGATTCACAGTGAGCAGTAGGGTATTGACTAAACTACTAAAAATAAGCTGCCCCATGGGAAGATCTGCCACATTCCACTCTCAAATGATACTGAACTCCGAGGTTATGCTCATGAGGTTTCTGCAAGTATTGGCACATGTGACAGTGGGTGGTCCGTCCGTCCGTCTCTATGACGTGTCCTCCAGAATATAGAAGATGAGCTCCAGCTGGCAGGCGGCGAGACCCTGGTACTGAGAGTTACTCTGCACCACAGACATTAACGATTGGTTCAGACAGTCCTGGTACGGGGCTGGAAGGCGCTGGCCGTTACTGCCTGCCAAAAACTCCATCTGAAGATCAGAGAAATGGGAATAAGAAAAGGTTTGTTCTTTGGTGTGATCATAACCTTTGCTCCAATTCTAAATCTTTCATCAAACGGCATTAATGAAGCAGAACGATAATGTCACTGGGTAGAAGGTCAGGCATGTCGCACTCACATGCTTCACTCCTGACCTGCCCTTATAAAATACTCAACTATGATAATTAAAGCAACTGCAAGGGCACATGCTGGATTGAAAATACAGTGCAGAAAATGAGTACAAACGATACATTGTAGTACTAAACTAACAGTTGGAGAAGTGGAAAAGTCACCAGATACAGTGACAAGGAATTAAGTATTTTTGTTTTGAAGAAAACAAAAATGTGAACAAATTTAATCCGTGGTGTGTTTGTGTGTACAGGTTTATGTTGTTTACGAGGACATGAAATTGTATAATGAGAAGGATGTGACTTAGCTGTGCTCTATTAAGGTCGTTTTTGAGAACGTGTCTTGTGCCCTTGTGATTCAAAATGCTTGAATCCATGTTTTAAAAGAAACATTCTTAATGGGGTCTTTTGACATTCAGAATTTGCCACAGGTTTCCTTTCAGGTTTCAACAGATTTTTCAACACCACAGGGGTATTCCAGAAAGCTTGGTTAACTTGAATGAGGTTGGGACATTGGGAATGAGGCTGAAGTTGAATGAGTTGGGACATCTTAATTTGTGTTTTGAAGACGAATTAAGTACTTGAGGGTTTGGAACGACATGAGCTTTAGTAATTAATAACAGCATTTTAGTGTGAACTAACCCTTTAATTTTCCAAATCTTTCCCTAACCAACACAAGGTCTCTAGAAGAAGTACTGTTATGTGTACAGTTTTATGCTGTTTACGAGGACATGAAATTGTAAAATGAGATGGATGTGACGTAGTTGTGTTCTATAAAGGTTGTTAATGAGAACATGTCTCCTTGTGATTCAAAATGCTTGAATCCATAAAAAAAAAAAACAAATCAACATTCTTAATGGGGTGTTTTGACATTCAGAATTTGCCACAGGTTTCCTATCAGGTTTTAGGGCTAGGGTAATATGGAGCTAATAATATGCCAAAACAATCTGAATTTGAATTGTGTTCATTTGAATTATTGACAATTGTAATTTAATAAATCTGAATCTTTGTGCTGTTATAAATTGTTTTGAATTAGAATTTCTTAATTTAAGTTTGAATTTCTTAATTTGAATTCGAATTTCATAACTTGAACATTGAACATCTGAAATTTAGGGCTGGATTTTTCAAGGCTGATTTTTTTATAGGCGTATTTTCAAACTTTTTGTGTTCTGAATTCATGGAATGCAGATGTCCAGTTTGTAGAAATACAGTGTCAAATATTCAAAATGAAGAAATTCAGAACATCAGATTCAATATTCTAAAATTCAAAACCAGAAATTCAGATGGTGAAATTCAGATTCAGCAGAAAGTAGGTCAGGGGTGATCAACAGGGAAGAATCAGTGATTCCTGTCCAATCAAACCCCACATGGAAAGTTAATTGCATCATAATAAACTACCTCAAGTTATGGGCAATTTATAATTGCAGCAAACTGTTTGGAAGCATTGAAATATCCAAGAAGATGTCCAAAATCTTTACACGCATTGATCCAGAGGCTGTTTAGATGCATGTTCTGATGAGATGACAGATGTTTACAGTATGATGACTGAAATGTCCCTAAACACCCAGCAGACACAAGACGTCATCATCGTGGGAACATTGAATTTTGTTTGAAAATGAAAATCAGGTTGACGTCAATGTCCAACGTCCAACCTAAAGTGAACCAAATATCACCGTCTAATGATGTTACAGCTTGATGTTGCCTGAACGTTACCACTATGACGTCTATCAGATGTATGTGTCTGTTGTAAATATTACTTCAAGTATGAGTAAAAAGTAGTACTTTTAAAAGTACTCAAGCTTGCATGCTATTTGTGCGTGTGTGTGTGCGTGTGTGTGTGTGTGTGTGTGTGTGTGTGTGTGTGTGTGTATGTGTGTGTGAAAACGTAACATTCTGTAGTGCATTAAGTTATTGTTTAAGGCCATTTGTGTTGTCTTGCACAATTTTAAAGCTTCCACACTGTACATGGTTGCTGCATTTATAAAGCACCCGTGTCTTGAGCATGATGCCATTTTTCTACATACAATTTGAATGGAAATCACAAGACTAATCATTCTACTTTGCTAAATAAATATAAAAAATAAACAAATAAATAAAGTCATTACTGAAAGTAAATAAACTACACAAAAATGTACTTAAGTGTACTACTTAGTAAAGTACAATTCCTGAGAAAAATTACTGAATGACATTAATCTGAGTATTTGTAATTTGTTACTTAACAAACTGATAATGAGTTCACTATACTCTATATTCCAAATGACCTTCACAAACACCAGATCTCAGTCCAGCATCATGTCAAAACAGGTCAACATCTCTGAGGAATGCTCCCAACACATTGATTTTATGCCTAGCACTAGCAAGGAATACCTAATAAAGTGGCTGGTGAGTGTCTATATGACGTTAAAAAAATAGAGCCCTGTCTCACCTTCTGTCCATCCAGGATAACTCTCAGTGCCAGTTTGGTCATGCCGTCCTCCTTCAGCAAACAGAGAGACTGGCACAGTGCCAGGCAGAATGCCCGGGCAAGACGTTCTGTTAGACGGTTATGGCTGGTGTGATTATTCAGACCATTTGGATGCTGGTCTTTCAGCAAGTAGTACACCTGTCAAGTTCAAACAGAAAATATTGATTTGCATAAAGTAGTTTTTGAAAGCCTTTTTAGCCGTAGAGTTTCAATCAATTATCATTCAGATAAAGATGAAGCAAGCACTTAATTTATAGGTCTCAAACTGGATTCCTGGAGGGCCGCTGCTCTGTAGTATTGCTTCAACCCTAGTCAAACACAGCTGATGCAACTAATCAAGGTGTTCAAGACTCTTTTAAACAACTTGATTAATTGGATCAGCTGTGTTTGATTACGGTTGGAGCAAAACTGTCAGAGCTGCAGCCCTCTGGGAATTGAGTTTGAGACTCATGGCATAATCCATGACTATACATCTAAATTAGGGAACCACTGAAACATTTGTATAAAACCTTTTCAACATGTTTACTTCTTTAAAACTCTGATTTGACTCATTAAATTTAATTTTATTTGTAGTATGTAGTAGGTACATAGGGAATTAGTAAATGTCAGAACACAGAACACCCTAGTAACATCTTAGCAACCACATAAAACACCCTAGCAAAGCTTTAGCAACTACTCAGAACACCCTAGCAACCACTCAGAACATCTTAGCAACCACCTAGCTACGCCTTAACCAGACAAAACACCCTAGCAACAGCTTAGCAACCGTCTAGCAACCACTCAGAACATCCTAGCAACCATTCAGAACACCGTAGCAACCACTCAGAACCCCCTATCAACAGCCTACCAAGAAACATGCCAATGCATTGTAAGACTTGAGATACCACAAATACTTTGATTTCTTTGACAATTCAAATATGAGCTGAAACACAGAAATAATCAGCTCCACAATCCAGCAGGTGGGAATGCGGGAAAAACCAGCTCCCCACCTTCATTTACATTTGAAGCACCCCTGCAACCATTTGTTTAACCACCGTCTCTACATACTGTACTCATACAGAATGGTCATTTCAAAGTCTGAATGTTCTAAATCAACCCGAGTGACTTTATTTATTATGTTTGATATCCTTTGAAATGTCTCAGTGCGACTGGTACAATGATCTCATTTCCTCAGAAATGGACATGATCAAAACAATAGATATATAACTTCAGGTATCTTTTGAACCACTGCGAAGGCTGTGCCTTTCCTACAGGCAGAAACTCTTTCACTAAATGCAAATGACTTGTTATTCACACACCCCTGTCCTTGAGGGGATTCTTGGATTTACTACTTAAAGGAAAGTTTCTAAATGTTCGGCGTTATTCTGTTATCCAGATCAGCCCATAGTGTGGAACTTCATGTTCCATGTTATGTATATTTTGAAGTCAGGTATGCATCTTTTAATCTTGGATTTATCTTTGAGAATTTGATGTTTTGTATTGATCGTTTATGAATTGACTGAATGAATTGGCATAATACACATTTACCTGACTATTAAATTGTTATGTTTGAACATATTTTGCTTACTCTGTAATTATTCATTCCAGTAGATTAAGCTATATCCTTGTTTCTGCACTTCCTGTGTCAGGTCAGTAGACGGGACTAAAATCCAGTTGAGATGGAGCATTGGGCACACTAACTGTATTTTAGGGATCCGACTGACTCTTGATATTGATTCAAGAGTGGACTTAGGTGGAACTTCCGTCTAAGACAACAAGGAGTTGCACGACTAACCTAGATAGGGTACCCAACCCTTGTTTGAAAGTAATGTTATTCTAAATTAGGTTCATATGGGAAACCATGGGCTTGGGGAAACCAAAATTATTATAGAGTACAGTAGTCGTTACATTTATAATATAATAATATTATAATAATGGCCCTAACCTCTGATTGGAAATGATATAGAGTCTTTACTCAAGGGTGTACATCTAAGGAGGACTAATCAAAAATACTTTATGAATGAGCAAGCATGGGAGCGGCCATCTAAAAGTAGTAGTCATCTACCTCTGTTTAATATTCAAGAGTGTGACCGTGAGGGACGTCATCGGCCGGGGCGATCTCTCTAAGCGACATGAGCACCCAATGAACAAATGTGATAATTACGAGTGAAGATAAAAGGTTCAAACATTTATCTAAATTCTATAATGAAAAAACGTTTTATGATTAGAGTCAGATAAAACAAAAGATAAATATATTGATATTCTAAACCACCTCATATTCAAATTGGAGTCAGATATGAGTCAAATTTAAAGTAAATCAACATTGTGCACTGAAGAGACCAAACATGCAGTGAACCTTCATCCACCAGTGGACCACAACCTGTGTGGACCTTACAGCATACTAGAAACATGATAACCTATATGTAGTTACAACTATTTCAAACTTCTTATAAACTACTTTATTATTTTAAACTTTAAAACTACTTTAAACTTTCAGGCTAAACTTTCTCAAGACACCGTAAAGTTTGTCTACAAACTTTACTTTTCTAGTTATTATTTATAAAATAATAAAATAAAATATAATATAATGAAATACAATACAATATAATCAAATATAATATAATATAATATAATGTAATAAAATATAAAGTATTATAATATAATAAAATATGATATATTGTAATAAAATATAATGTAATATAATATAATATAGTAAAATCTAATCTAATCTAATAAAATTAAATATAATATAATATAATATAATATAATATAATATAATATAATATAATATAATATAATATAATATAATATAATATAATATAATATAATAGCAAGCAAACTAAATCCTAATACTATTTTCTATGTCATACACATCTTTATGTCACAGCATAACATATATGTATCTTTATACACAAATATATGTATGGGAATACATATTTAAGTAGAGGGTTCCTTTCGGGGTTATCATATGTTTTTTTCTTTTATTATAATTGATTGTAAAAACATTGCTGCAATGATGCTAGAGTGGATTATTTTGTTTTTCACATGCCGCTATGCAATTATTAATATTTTAAAATGTCCGCAAAATACTCTTCAATTGACGCTGATTTTAGCCATCAGGTGGAAATGTGATTATTCAGTACTAGAAAGTGCAAAACAATAATTTCAAATCTTTCATTTCTGTACATTAAATAGTAAGTTGCATGCGTTGGTTTGTGAATCTGTTTACCTCTGTCCAGCGTATGAGCTTCCCATTGGCTCTGAATTCTAAGCGCTGATGGGTCTTGATGTTGGTGAGAGACTCCATAGACTTGCCATCAATGGGGCTGACGATGCTGTGAGATGCAGAACAAAATCAGAGAAAAACAGCACAGACTTAAATGAACACTTCACTTTACTGAGATTAGGCTAATTTTACAACTCCCCTAAAGTTAAACAGTTCAGTTTTTACCATTTTTAAATCCATTCAGTTGATTTTCAGGTCTAGAGGGATCTATTTTAGCTTAGCTTAAAATAAATCAATTAATTGGATTAGACCATCAGCATCTCACTCAAAAATGACTAGAGTTTTGGTAATTTTCCTATTTAAAGCTTGACTTCTGTAATAACATCGTGTATTAAGGCCAACAAAAATGAAAAGTTGCTAGTTTAGGAAAGTTTCTAGCCTTATCAGTATAGAAAATAGCAACTTTTCATTTTCCATTGGTTCTAGTACATGATGTTACAACAGAAGAGTCGAGCTTTAAATAGAAAATGTATCTAAACTTATTATTTAAGTGAAATGCTAATGGTCTAATTTAGTGGTTGTCAAACTTTTTAGCCCGTGACCCCCAAAGTAACAATACCAGTTACTCGCGACACCCAATATCCTCTCAAGTGGTTATATATAAACCTTGCACACAACAGTGCACACATACCAATAGGCCCAGGTCTATTCATTGTTTATTTTTGGAGAACGCCACTCGGAGACCATCCTCCATGTTCAGTTGTGGTCTGTATTTATTTTAATGCCGTAAAGGTGTCAGAAAGTTTAACCTGGTGCCATAAAATCAATGTCTGATGTTATTGCTGTGTCTTTAATATAATGCAATCACCCCTGGGGTTGCAAAAACAAAACATTTTGAAAGGCTGATGGCTTTTTAGTTGCATGTTGTTTTTTAATGTTTATTATTAACATGTTAACAATGTTACTATTAATTATTTTGTTCTCCAGTAGGTTATGCATAAATTATGGTAAGTCTTATAGTTTAATAAAATGTTGATTTTTGGAAATGGCCAAGCGACCCCTCTTCATTGTCTCGTGACCCCCTGAGGGGTCCCGACCCCCATTTTGAGAACCACTGATCCAATTTAACGATTTATCCTAAGCTAAGCTAAAAGTGTTCCCAGAAGACCCAGAGATTGTCTGAATGGATCCAAAAATGGTACAACTAAAAGATGCATTTGATGCTCTCAAGGAAATCTTCCATTATGACATCTCTGAAGATCCAACAGTTGCTCTGCTACAGTAGGTGTATGCCCCGAGTGCTTCAAAAGCAGATCAAAAATATAATTTATGAAGTAATTTTTGATGATTTGAACTTTATCCTATGCATTAATAGACTAATCATTGCATTAATAGTTTAATTCTGTTTTTAACTAATTACACAAACTTATACTGATGTACTTATCTTCATATTACTTTGCTCCATAACAGCTGTGGCTTTGTGTGGCTGATAACCGAGAAGTTAACTCCTCGGTACTTATCACCAAAATGTTACAACTCTACTTTGAGTGTGTGCTCGTTTACAGGAACAATCACAGACGGGAGGAGCACAGGTTCACTCTCTTGTGGGCTGTTATGTGTATGCATAGCTTTTTCTGTGCAGATTAACTGTTGTGCCTAACTAATGATTGAACTGATCTGAATTGAGGATCTTTCTTAGGCCCAATCCCAATACAACCCCTTAGCCCTTCCCCTTACCCCCTACACCTCATTTTGTACGTGCACGCCAAGGGGTAGGGGTGTTTTAATTCTCTTTAGCTTGAAGGCGTAGGGCTAAGGGGAAGGGATGAATAGCCCTTCGAACGAAGATATTTCAGGACCACACTTGAAAAGTAAAAAGAAAATTTACAAAAATACACCCGCCACAACGACAGTATTGCTGAACCCGGAAGTAAGGAGATTCACAAATTAGTATTTTTTGTCATTATTATGAATTTTTACGACAAACAAACACATGTTTTAATATATTCATAACCGCGTTTATGTTTTACCATCATGCTTACACAAAAAAAAAAAAAAAAAAAAAAAAAAAAAACGCTAAATTTCGCGATCTATAATCCCTATTACTAACTCCTGTACAGGAGTCCCACAACATTCTGACACTCGAATACCCTTTCAATAATGTCTAGTGGCTAGGAATGAGCTTTTTACAATGTCTGCTGTAATGTTAATGTTGTTTTTGGTGTGTTTACATTGATGAATATGGCCACTGTGTAAATACACAGTACAGTTACGATCATATTGCCACATTATATTGTTATGATAACATAATATATGCCTTCAGTGATTTCTTGAAGATAAATACCAATAAATAACACAACTGGAATCACTACAGCAGTCGCGATCGTCTGATCTCACATGAAGCAAGAGATCGCGAGGACATATGAAGACGTGTGCAAGTGGTGTAGCGCTGTGCCGATTCTTAGGGGTAAATTTTGAAGCCCTTCCCCTTAACCCTCGGTTGTAAGGGCCAAGGGGAAGGAGAAGGGGAAGGGGTACAAAAATAGAATTGGGATTGGGCCTTACTTAAGTGCCCCCGGGCAAGGCTGAAGAGAGACGGTAATAATTATGGGAGGGGGAAGAGGAAGTGTGTGTGTGCTCAGCTCTGTAATTAAATTGATTGAATATTAATAACATATGAATTGCAACTTCAAGAAACAAATTTCCTAAATAGATATACAGTATTGTTATATATAAGTGACCTATGACAAGAGCACTCATTTGAACATCTTTTTGTCCCTTTTTTATTATCTTTTCTTCCTTTTTTTCTTCTCTCTTTTTTATTTTCTACATGTAAAATATCAAGCTAGCTGTAAATCGATAAACTAACATGTAAAAAAAACTCTAGAGGAGTTGTAAAATTAGCCGTGTTCCTTCAAACTTGATTCTGCTTGGATGAGCACACTAACTGAATGTATGTTTGTTTCTAACCCTTTATTAAAGCGCGGCTCTTCATCCTGCCACTGAATGTGCACATATTCCTGTCTCTCGGCTGGGTGGAGTTTTCCACAGGTCACTGTGAAGTCTTTCATGTCCCGCAGGCATCGACGTAACTCAGCCATGGTCTCCATGGTGATCTGCACCATCAAACCATCTGTAATGAGGAACAGATACATGGAATTTTAGCACATGCACACATTCAATCACACGTTAGAAACACACAAGTTGTGTCCCAAAGATACACTAGCCACATACTATAGTGTTTAGAACCAAATATTATAGTTAAGTGATTTATACTGTATATATCATGGGTGGCCAACCCTGCTCCTGGAGAGCCACCTTCCTGCAGATTTCAGTTGCAACCTATAATCAAACACACCTGCCTGTAATTATCCCATGGTGTTCAGGTATTAATTAATTGGATCAGGTGTGTTTGATATGGGTTGCAACTGAAATCTGCAGGAAGGTGGCTCTCCAGGAACAGGGTTGGCCACCCCTGGTATATTATTATAGTGTTTTCAACATACGGCAGCATACTGTAGTATTGTCAACTAAAAACTGAATAAATACTGTAGTATACTTGAAATTTGAATTATAGTAAATTGTGGAGTATTTGAGAATAATATAACCTATACTTGTAGAAATTATTAGTACAGTTGTAGGCTCATTATATTATTACTATAATGGTTATATTACCACAATAGGATTACCACAACAGATTAATTCAAGTAATTTAGTATTTACTATAAATTACTATAGTATTTTTAACTATGAAGTTAATGTATTTTCCATAAACTCAACTGTCTAGTGTATACTGTATACAACACAAGTGCATACTTCAACACAAGTGCACAACTATTTAATCCTTGGCTAATTAAGTGGTATTTGAAGTGTATTATTTGAATGAACACACCCAGCATGATCTAAATTAAAGAACAATTTGTAAATACTCTACTATTTTTTCCCAGAAATAATGTAATATATTATTGAACTGGTGAGCAATTCCAGCTTCAGTGTTGAGCCAACTGACAAAAGTGATTCTCTGCATTAACTTGTATTCTTTCCCATTTTTTTTCGTAGACTTTTTGGAGGACTGAATGACATCATAAAGATACATTATTCTAGAAATGACAGATCTGGAACAAATCGAGTTCTCTTGCTATGACTGAAAGTGTCCTCAATTTGGTCTTCATCTGCTCAACCTGCTGTCAGAGGCTTTCATTTACTTTAGAACGGCTCCGCATCTTGCAAAGTTTGTGAAAACTGGAAGGCTTGGTGAGTTAAGGGTTCTAAGGTAAAGGGAATTACCACCAGGTTTAGATGACCAAAAATCACTTCAGGAGGAATCTGAAGGTGTTCGATAATTGAGTTGTTTTAAAAAAAAAATTTATTTAAGTTGTATATACTATTCTTCAGAAAATATGTAAATTATTAGCTCTTTTACTCCTGCTAGGGTTAAAACGACTTGAAAGAAATTGACTTCTTAGAAATTATGTTGCTCTCTAATTTTTATATGCACTGTTTTTATATAAAAATAGAATATAATAGGGCACAACCCAGCTAAAAACACAAACATACACTGATAAAGTTTGTTTTTGATACTGGTTTAGGCTGGTTCTTGGTGGTCAACAGCTGAAGAACCAGCTTAAACCAGCTAACCAGCATCAAGCCTACATTCCCAGCATTTGCTAGCTTTATTTATTTATTTTTTTGTGAAGTACACCAACTGGGTGGCATCTGTGGACATTAACATTCAATTTCTGTGACATGAATCAATGGAAATGCTCAGATAACAAATGTTTAACCTTCCACAATGCTGGACTTGGCCAAGTACCCTGAAGAAGGTTTGAGTGCTCCACTGAACACGAAAAAACATGAGCCGGTGACTGAAAGATGAACAGAAACAAAGATTCAGATGGAGTGAGAGAATTCCTGTCAACAATGAATCAAACAAACTTTGTGTGAGAGCCAGACAGCGCCCTCAAGTGGTCATTCAAGTAAAAAACAAACAAAAACAGTTGAAGTCAGAATTTTAGCTACCCTGAATTATTAGCACCCCTGTTTATTTTTTCCCTCAATTTCCGTTTAACGGAGAGAAGATTTCTTCAGCACATTTATAAACATAATAGCTTTAATAACTCATCTCTAATAACTGATTTCTTTTATCTTTGCCATGATGACAGTAAATAATATTTGACTAGATATTTTTCAAGACACTTCTATACAGCTTAAAGTGACATTTAAAGGCTTAACTAGGTTAATTAGGTTAACTAGGCGGGTTAGAGTAATTAGGCAAGTTATTGTATAACAATGGTTTGTTCTGTATATATATATATAGCTTAATGGGGCTAATAAGTTTGACCTTAAAATGGTCAAAACTGCTTTTATTCTACTAAAAAAATAAAAAATAAAAAATAATAAGACGTTCTCCAGAAGAAAAAACATTAACATACTGTGAAAATGACCTTGCTCTGTTAAACATCATTTGGGAAATATATAAAAAAGAAAAGAAAAAATGAGCCCCTCTGTTTATTTTTTCCCTCAATTTCTGTTTAACGGAGAGATTTTTTCCAACACATTTCTAAATATAATAGCTTATAATAACTCATCACTAATTATCTTTGTCATGATGACAGTAAACAGTATTTCATTAGATATTTATCAAGACACTAGTATTCAGCTTAATAGGCAATTTAAATACTTAACTAGGATAACAAGGTTAACTGGGCAGGTTAGGGTAATTGGGCAAATCATTGTATAATGATGGTTTGTTCTGTACACAATCGGGGAAAAATATCTTAAAGGGACTAATAATTTTGACCTTAAAATGGATTTTAAAAAATTTAAAACTGCTTTTACTCTAGCCTAAATAAAACAAATAACATTTTTCCTAGAAGAAAAAATGTTATCGGACCAACTGTTAAAAATTTTCATGCTTTGTTAAACATGCTTTGTTGAAAAAAAAAATCAAAGGGGGGCTAATAATTCTGACTTCAACAGTATTTATAGCACACTATGAGCAGAGAAGGCTGTAAAATGGCTCTTTTTTTCTTCAACCCTTTTGATAACAATTTAATTAAATTTGATTGAGTTTGTTTTTGACACATTTAGTTTTTGGAATCTTTTTTTGGACTTTCTGACCCCAAATCAGTTAACTTTTGAAACTTTCCAATTGTGATTAAACTGTGGCCACTTAAACTATCCTATTTCCATTTCCCTATTCTCAACAACCTTTTACGTCAATTCACAGCTCTATTCTTTGGTTTTTCTCACTGTATTGAATAACTGAGTGAGTTTGAGTGAATAACTGGTTGAGTTTTTTCTTCATATCCCTGAAACAGGTGGTCATGGTTAAACAATTTCTGATGCTCATCACTGTGTGTATTAAAACAAGTAACATATCAATAAGAATATACTTCAAGACATTATTTCTCACATGAATTCACAGGGGTATTATTGTGGATGTATACACTACCTGACAAAAGTCTTGTCACCAATCCAAGTTTTTAGGAACAACAAATAATAACTTGAGTTCTAGTTGGTCATTTGCTATCAGTCTCGGCTTATATGAAAGGCAAAGGCCTCTAGATTATACTTATTTTACAAAAATAAAATATTATCCTGCCTTGATTTTTATTTATTTAATTAGGACAGTAAGGTCTGACTTTGCTTAGACAAAGGTCTTGTCACTTAACAGAAATAATGAACAATATAGAATATAAAGTCATGGAGCAGTGGAAAAGAATTAATATTGTGTTTGACTCCCATGAGCTTGGTAAAGATTATGTTCCATAATAATTTTCTATCTTTTTCTAGTTGCATGTTATAGATAACGTCTTTAATTCAGCGATTAAATGTTGGAGTTAAGGATTTTGACAGAATTAGCCTCCTGGCTAGGAGAGAACAAAAAGCAATAGAAACAGAGATTTGCTTAGGTAAACATTAGTTATCGACAAAAATGTTCTGTGTTTGCAATGGTTTGTTCTTAATGACAGGAGATTTTTAGTTAATATTTTAATGCAAAAAAAAAACACAATAAAGACAAAATGTCCACAGCTTTCTTTGCTCATATCTATCAAGGGTGCTAAAAAAAAGTGGAAGACATTGTACAATCTGTCATTAGCTTTCATATGTTCGTTCTCACCTCTACGTGGCTGGCTGTGAATGCTGATGGCCTGGGTCTGGTACTGTCCATCTGCCGTCTGCACGCAAATGAGATGAGAGTCGGCCTGCTCATTAAAGCAGGCGCCCAGAGCCAGCACTCTCTCATTAGACTTATTCAGAGCCTTCAGCAGCTAAAACACCAGCAGATAAACATCCAAGAGCCTCGTTAGCTTGAGAAATGAAGGAATGACTCTTTACAGTACCTCAGGTCTGCTAATCTGTTGAACTTCACTGTAATGATAATTCTTCTGATATTCCAGGCGCGCTCAACAAAAATATCATGCTTTTACAGTCTACTTTGATACCATGATCTCGAAAAAAATTATGGATTTATTCATCCACCATTATTTTTAATTGTGACAACACTTGTGGGGTTTTTTGTTTCAATTGTGGGTAGCACTTTCTGTTTGAAGAACTACTATTTAAATGTACTGAAATAAATCACTTTAAATAACAAGTTGCACTACAAATAATCCATTAATATATTGAAAATTGAATGAGAGGTCCATTTTGGCTTTGTGTTTTATTTTCATCTGTTCATCTGAAAATAACTTTACGCTTAGCATTTTGGCATGACATTAATATCACGAGCCTATCTGTATCTCTTTTTGAGTTTTGTTTCTCCAGATTATTTTCACTTTGTATTCTCTAAAGCACAGTAATATTCAATATACACCCATAATATTTCTGCAGAAAGACTCATCTTGAGCTCATGCGGTTATTCATGGTCTGCTGAAAGTAATTTGCTAATAATTTTAGCAAGTAGCCTTTTTAATATTTGATGGATGAACCGTGAGGAGATTATAATGCTATGCATAGTAAAAAGATGGATATGTTAGTGTAATGTTGTGGTACCTCTGGATGATGTGTTTTAGGTATTCTTATACAGGTACTTCTTGCCTCTAAATCAACCACAAGCCCAGGAACTGTCGGCAATGTGTAACGGTAAAAACGGAAATCCTACAAGAGTCAATATAGAATGGAAATCAATTAAAAAGAACTAAACAGGAAACAGTGCAACAGGATAGAGTAAATGAAATGAGTCTTACCACTAAGAGTCTCATTATACTGTTGTTAACAGGTCCAAATAGAGGTTCTCTGAAGCGCACACTGAACAGGGGACAGGGGTAGACTACAGGACAGAAAAAAAACTTAATCGGTGTGGTTCAAGGGGTAAAGGTTAGTCATTCAAATAAAACAAATAGACATTGATATAAGAGTTATATGATGATTCAAATGATTTAAGATAGGCAAACAGTCCTGGAGGGTCAGTGTCTTGGAGAGTTTAGCTCCAACCCTAATCAAACACACCTGCCTGTTGCAGTCTCGTGATCTTGAAGACACTGATTAGCATGTTCAGGTGTGTTTGATTAGCTTTGGAGCAAAACTCTGCAGGACACCGGCCCCTTCAAGACCAAGTTTGCCCATCCCTGTTAAAGATCATTGAGATTAAGGTTTTTAATATTGCAAGGTTTGGCATTGGCATGATGTTTTTGAAGGATGTAACCTTTGTTTAATTTCTTGAGCTCCTCACTAATTTTGGCCACTTGTATTCAAGATTTTGTGCCTTCAGACATGACCCAAACCTCAAGACCATAGGTGAGAGTAGGAATGCAGATTAAACTCAATCATTGATTGAACTCAACTCCTTTACCACAACAGACTGGTACATTGACCACATTGCTGCTACACCAATGAGATGTGTCAATCCCATGTTCCTTCCTTCACTCTTGAGTAAATCCCAATACTTGAAATCAACTTGATTTCAAATACTTGAAATCCTTCACCTGGGACAAGGACTCTCCTCCAACCTGGAAATGGCCTCAGACTTGAGGTGCAGGTTTTCATACCTGCCACTTTATATTCGACAACAAACTGTTCCTGTGGGTGCTGAAGGTACAGGTTGAATGAAGCCAACAGGACATCATCATCCCCAATCCAGATCACAGAAATTCTGTCCATAAAAATAATGAACAGAACCAGTGACAAAAGCCAGCTCTGAAAGACTTCCAACATACACGACAAACAAGTCTGACTTATTACCGGCAATGCAAACCAATATCCTGCTCTGGTCATACAGCCCTTAACAGAGTGCTCCAAACCCCTATACTCCTAGGAGCCTTCCATGGTCTACCTAAACTCTTCTGCGACTGATCAAGCCGCAACATTCTTGGCCTGTCAGTACTGATCATCTGCTTCAGAAGTCCTATATACCAACCAGATCTGGTAGGACTCCTCCTTCAGCTTGACATCTTCCCTTACTTCCGATATCCAGCAAGGGGTTTTTGGGTTACAGCTACAGCCCCTTTAGCCGTTTCTACATTGGAGTCAAAGAACAAGGACCACTCAGTCTCATGTCTCCAGCTTTCCTCAGGATCTAATCCTAAAGTTCTTCCAAAGGTGAGAGCTGAAAATCTCTAAATTATGGTTCAGCCAGACATTCCCAGCAGACCCTCATAATATATTTGGGCCTAAAGGATCAGTCCAGGTTCCTCTGCAAGTGGATCCAAGTCACAGATGGTGATCAGTTGACAGGTCCGCCTTTCTCTTTACCCAAGTGTCAAAGACAAACAGTCGGAAATCAGATGAAACTACCGCAAATGTAATGATGTTCAATATGTACATACTGTGACTAGTGCAGAAATCCAACAACAGAAAACCACTGAAAGTGTGATCAGATCAGCTCACATTGCATCAGATTAGAGCAGATTGCCAATCATGCCAATCCCAATCATGTCTCTCCAGTAATCACTGTTGTTGCCCACATGGGCATTGAAGTCCCCATAGTAGAATGATAGAGTCTCCAATTGGAGCACCTTCCAACAGTCCTCCCAAGAAGAACAGGTACTCTGCACTGCTGTTTGGCCCGTAAGCACAAACTAGAGAGCCCGATCCCCAACCCAAAGGCACAGGTGCCGAGAGAAGATAAATAAACATTTTTATTTAACATTTTGAGGAAATATCATCAGTACATCACAGAATAAAACAAAATTATGTTTTTATTCAAGGAAACTGGGAATTTTTAATTAGGACCAGCATTGTTTCCATAGCCAAAAATGCAGTAGCTCCTTTTTAAAAATCACTCCAATGCCAAACTTTTGAACAGTACTGAATATGAATCGTAATTTCTTACATCTATACTCAGCTCCTAGACGCAGCATGAGTCTCAGGGGAAAGGCTTTGGCCCATGGAACCTCTGCACGGAGCATGAGCAGCCCGAACAGGAATGGTGGTGCAGGTAATGGCAAGCCCTCCAGAGACTGGAATGTCGGGCGCACGTAAACAAATCCAGCATGCTCATTATTACCCAGAAAGCCTCGGGACACCAAAGAGTGACTGAGGTGATTCAGAAGCTTCCCTGCTACTTGGAGAAACAGCAAGATTAAGAATTTTTTCAAGCCTTTGTTTGGTCTAATGTTGAACATCTGAATCAAGTGTCACCTGTTTGGGCGTCCCAGTAGATCTGAATGAAATGATTGAAAATATCCGTCGGGAATCTCTTCTCCTCCGGCAAACACTGCAGTAGAATGACCACCTCAGGCTGTCCAACAGCATGCATGCCCTTCGACATTACACACCAGCACCGTCGGTTCACATCTACAGAAATGCAAAAACGCCACAGTAATCTACATGAACACACCAGCATATTGTTTTTAGAAGTACATTACATGCACACTAGGGGTGTCACGATTTCGATTTATAATCGAAATCGTTTGAAATTTATGCTCAATTTCGATTATCGAATCAAAAAATATAATCGTCGATGCTGCCACGCCCCCATGTCACGTCAGCTTGGCTTGCCAAGCGGGAAAAAAACAGGCTTAGAACAACAATGATTTAACATCCACAGTGACGTGTAGCATTTCTGAGCAGCCCTCCTTCCTCTCTACCTCTGAAAATGCACATCACGTGTACACACAGACACAGCCATGCGCTCGAGACAGCAGGTCCAGGCAGTCAAAGGACTGCTTCAATCTTTCACTCACTTGTACTTTGTCATTTTAGCGAACACCTCAGATACTGTTGGCTGGTTCCTGTTGGTTGTGCGTCTTTTTTACGACGCCATTATAACGACACAGATCACTGCCTATTCACTATTCACGAGTCCCGCAGAAAAAGTGATTGACAGGTGGTAATTATGTGTGTATCTTGCCTTTATTCATTTACTGTATGATTTGTTTATGGGTAAAACAAAGACCATACAGGTCAGGTAGTTTAAACGGTAGGCTACAAATAATTAATTGGTCATTAATTAATTATTCATAATCGAAAATCGAATCGAATTGTGCCTTTAGAATCGAAAATGTAATCGAATCGAGGATTTGGAGGATCGTGACACCCTTAATGCACACACATTCTAAAAAAAAAACAATGTGATGATATGGATTTGGTGGTGATGATTTCAAAACTGGAATCAAGTTTCATTGCCGGCTCTTTTGCAGCATCTGAAGACACTAACTTGTTCACTAGTTCTCTTATCCTTATGTAGTACATAGTTCTTGAGTGCACTTTATGAGCATGATAAAATGAGCCGAGGCCACAGTTGTTTTTCCTCAGAAAAAAATATATTATATACACTTTGGATGCGATGTGTAAGGAACTACTTCTACACACAGGAGTTTGACAAAAACCTGACAAATGTCTTGAAATACAACTTCAGAATGCGTCTTTAGATGTGGTAACCAAAGTAGAAGCAGAAGATTTTTACTTCAGTCCATTTAATTATTTAAAAACAAGTGCATTACACCTCCAGTGTGCATTATCATCTAATAATATAACAGACTAATTGTTCATTACCTAATGTGTCAGGATCCAGCCCTGTCACTCCTGTCAGTGTTTAATTTCTCATTGATTGTTTTGTGTGTCTCTTTTGTGTTGGCCATGTGCTCCCCTTGTCCCCTTGTTTTCCTATGCCTCACCCTCTTGTATAGGTCTTGTTTGTCTAATTATGTTAACCTGTTCCCCGTGCTCTCTACTCTTTTACTTTTTTATTGTGCTCATTTCCCCCTTGTCAGTTTGTCACACTATCTATTTGTGTGCTTGTCTAGCTAGTCCTGTTAGTCCTTGATAGAAGTGTTTTATATAGTCTAGTATTTTTAATCTAGTTCTAGTCTTTTTGTCCTTTAGCTTGAGTTCATTTACGCTTTTGATTTTGTCTCTATTTTTTTATTTATTTTAATTTTCATTTCTGTTTGTAGTTCAAGACTTAATATTTCAAGACGTAGGGCTCTATTTTGACGATCCATGCACAAAGTGCAAAGAGCAGGGCGCAAACTCATTAAGGGCGTGTCAGAATCCACTTTTGCTTTTTTAAGGATGGAAAAATCCACTCTGTGCCATGGAGAATGGCCTTACAGGGTTGAGCTTATTCTCTTAATGAGTTATAGGTGTGTTTTGAGAATAAAACAATCAGAGTCTCATCTCCCATTCCCTTTAAGAGTCAGTTGCACCGCACCATAGCACATCTGCTATTTACATGGTGACTTTGTAAGTGGAAAAACTGAACACTAAACTAGAGAGAAAACAGTTAAACAGAGCATCTACATCTCTTTGAAGTAAATAAAACTGATACATCTATAACACCCTGATGTTTCCTAAATATCTGTGTATTTCTTTCTAACATTGTCATTTTTTGATTTAAAAAACAGAAAAGAACTGAGTATATCTATCTTTAATAACCATATAGGTCAAAATGACTGCATGCCTGTCTGCTTCTTTTCGCTGTGACTTTAAATATGCATGCTTTATTTGCCTAGCAACTTCTTGCTAACGTAAACATTCTGATAGCAAAACCATAAATTTACTTCAGATATATATCAAAACAGCATATTCTGTGCCGCGAAATAGCTCTTGTTTGAAAATGAAAGCGAGGCCAAGACCTTTGTGGGTGTTCTACTGTCTTAACTACATATGATTGTATTACCCAAAAAATTATATTTCTTGGGTAATGGTGTCTTAAAATATGATGACAGACATTCAAAGCTTATATTTAATATCTCAAAAGAAGCTTTGAATTTAAATATGACCTGAGAATATGACATTTTATTTGAGAACGGTCAGAATGACAGTATGGTAATTCTAATAGTTATAGAACTCTAGTTCCAATGTTAATATACCCTATTCTCGTGTCTGTGTTAACACAGAATGAAGTAAGTGTATCGATGCCTATTCTGGCCTATCACAGACGCTCTCTCATTGGCTGCAGCTTGTCACTACATCTAACCACAAGTGAGTTGAGTCGGCCAACTGCTCTGGAATATTCAGCATGCTAGATATTGGATTTCTGTCTGTGAGGTGGTGCGATGCATCAGCGAGCCTCTTTGATGCGTTGGTCTGAAGTTCACACATAAACACTGCCGAGCATCCGCAGATTTTTTCCCCGATCACAGCCCGATCTATCGGCGAGCTCATTAACTTCCAAATCTTGCTCAAAGCAGGCTTAAAATATCATAGTACTAGGCTTTACGTGTTTTATTTTATTTATCGAGCTGTTTAATATTTCTTATTTTACTTTGTTCAGATTTAATTTTACTTACTCTTCTTTTCGATTCTGTTGTCTCCCCAGCTGTCTAGTTTTGTTATGTTGCTTGTGTCACTTGCCTTCTGAGTCTCCGCTGGTTTTGGATCCCACTGACTTTACATTCCATCTGTTTGCCACCCCTGCCCCAAACCTGAGGTTCTGCTAGCTACTCACTGACTGCTTGGCCTAAAGTTTTGAATTTCACCTTTCCTGACCAGCCTGTTCCACCCCCATAAGACCCTTCCCTCTGTATCATGCCTCGCCAGCCTGTTCTTCTGCCGTCACCTTGCACTATTCCGTGAACTGTCCTTCTGCATTGCCTTGTTTCCCATCCTGTAAATAAACCCTGTGTTTTTTTTCTGACTATTCTGCGTTTGGTTCCTCCTTGCCAACCCTGACAAATGCATAGGCAGTTCCAGTCAATTTTTAATACAGTTTACAGTACTCTCAAACATTAGTAGTAACCATAGTAACCTAATGACCATAGCTGGAGACTTTTATGAGCATTGTGTAATGTGAGCACTGTGTAATGTATTAAATGTGCTATAATAGCTGTAGTCTATAATTCTTAAGCCTGGTTTGATGTGAAGTAAATGGAGTGAAAGAGTTGACTTCTAAAAACCCATATTGACTGACTAAACTGACTTCAATCACAATATATTATATACCATTCCAGTTCACACTGGTTCCACATGCCAAAAAAAACCATACATTCATGAACTGTGGAGATTAGGAACATACAGCTGACGATCTTCACCACAGCCAGAAGGTTTGCATTAAGCACAAACACTAAAGGCTCTGCAAGACCTCTCTCCAACTCCTCTAAGAGTGACGACTCTGTTCTCTTCTCCTCCAGAGTATAATCTGAATATAAACACACAAGAAATGGTCTTTAATACCTCGTAATTATGTACTAAATACAAATCAAATACTTTAGATACTTTAGACGTGCATAAACGGGTGCCAGTTAAAGGGTTAAAAACCACCATAAAATCAAAATGCTATAGAAATGTATTTTGCTGTGAATTAGAATTTGCTTTTAAATCTAATTTAAAGGTGCCCTATAAAGAAAATCTAGGTATATATAAAGGCATGATAGAATAATAAGAGATCAATATATGCAAATGGACATATTATGAGCCTTCGAGACCATTGTTTACCCGTTATCATGTAAAATCAATATGTAAAAATCCAAAGGACAATGGACCAATTAAAGGACAAAACAAACTGTGACAAGCCTCATGGGCCATGCATTTGCATTTATGACTACTTTAGGTCATTCATCCAGACCTGATGTCATCAAGAGAACCTAGACTCATGTAGCTTTTACATCATTAAAATTCATGCCTCAGGCTGTGTTTGATAAGCAACAAAGTTTTCCAGTGAGAAAATAATGGTAGTTTCCCTCCATTAGTTATTTTAAAGCCTATATTTAACTTACTAAGTTCAAATAACTTACAACTGCAGATAGTTTACTATGTGTAACTTGGGCATCGAATGCGCAAGACGTGTTTCAGAACGCAAAATGCTAAATTTACAGATTATACATCTATTTGGCTCCACTCCAAAGAGGTATAAGATTTGTTTTATTGTATCTAAGGTATGTTTTGTTGTGTCTTTTGTAAATTTACCATGTTTATTGTGAAATTTGAAGCGTATGTTTAACACGTGTAGACTGCTGTATTGTGTCAAATCACTCAGCTCATATGTCATCTGTTCATGCAGATGATATTAAGTCCTGGCTGTATTTACTTTGATATTATAGAGGAATTACCAACCTACGTTACACATGACATCACATGGGTCTCTGGTTGCAAAAAGAGTCTGGTTGCAATGGCAAACATGTCGTGTTGTGCGGTAGGATGCCAAATTTCAAAAATAGAAAACGTAACTTTTACTGTACACCACACTGCTTTTAATGCCAACCGCAGTCGTCTTTGGCTAAAAGGGAGCTGAATGAAGTGACGACCTAATTAGAAATGCTGGACTCTGCAATTCGACTCTGCAATTCGTCTGTTAATTCGTCTATAGCTTAAAAATATACAGCAATACATCTCTATCACTTTCTTTTGTCAAGTTTATTTATAATTAGCCTTCATCCACATCTTGTGAGCAAAATAGGTTAACGTTATTCTGATTGGATTAACAGTATATATGTCCATGTTCAGTGTACATCATGCTCTGTGTGTGTGCATGTGTGTGTGAGAGCTGCAGGTCAGAGTGGAGTGCGTTATTATTTACAACTCAATCCATATATGGTCAATTATGGACCTTCTGATTCTATTTTATAGAGTAATAAATGAGCTTACAAAATCGTTTCTAGAGATTTTCTTAAACTTACCGAAGCCATAAACCTACTATGTAGATATCAGAGAACAACTTATTAAACCAATGCAATATATGGCACCTTTAATACAATTGTGGGAAAACATTTATACCTCCTTTGACCCCTGTTGATGTCAGAATAGGTGGAAGGTCCTTTGGTGGAGTGGGCTTCGTGTTGCTACTAAGACCACTGACTTCATCTGCTGCTCTAAGGTCAGACACATCCTACAGAAAAACAAAAACAAAGGTCATTGTGCTTTAAGTAATAAAGGTTGTTTTTTTTTCCTAAAGGTAACTTAAATATTAGAGGAAAATTTTAATTGAACTGACATCCTCTCAATAAGGTCTTTATAAGGGTCTTAAATGGTTTGTTTAATGTTAAACCATAGTAAATAATAATAATAATAATAATAATAATAAAATTAAATTTAAAAGCTTCACTAAAGAGTTAACTTATTAATTAACAAATGTTCCCATAATCTACTTCATCAAGATTAAGCGGAAATTAAAATAAAATGTATTATAAATTCTATCAGAGGGTTCATCATACGAGTGTGTATAAAGTCTTTACAAACTTTACAAGAAGGCTTAATTAAAAACAAGTATGACAAAATGAAATAAATATCTTCTATATTCTAAAATGCACAAAATTAATTAAACAAAAAAAGTTCTGGACAGTGTAAATATAAAAGTGTTACTGTTTTTAAGTTACGTTGCAAAGATTAACGAGAAAATGAAATATAGAAAGCAGAAAGTTTTCACGTCGTACCGCCTGAGCGAGTCCAGCGCTCTGTGTGTGGGACACACTCCTGTGTATAGGTGAACTGTTGGCACTTCTACTTTCAGATTGAGGAAGGACATTATCTGCAAACCAAACCTTCTTTTGGTCCTTTCGAAGTGTGCCTAAAGATTTATTATAATTAATAATATAATTGAACGGTAACACACAATAGTGATTGTAACACACAATACAAAATAAATAATTAATTATTACACAATGTTTAATAAATAAACAACACATAAGTACATACATAGGAGGATCAACTACCAAATTTAAGATTAAAAATTGTTGAATCACATCATTGTAACTGCATAATTAATGTGTATAAACAGTACATACACAAGGGAAAAACACAATCATTAGTCTTTTTTTCCAATATAGAGAGCTTAAAAATCTTTCAATAATTATTCACCCTCATGTCGATCCAAACCCAGAGTCATTCAATCATCTTCAGAACACAAGTTAAGATTTGGGTAGTTGACAAATATTCAGTAAAAAAAAAAGTGTATATATATTTTTTAAATCACCATTTTTGAAAAAATACTTTTTTTTACTGTTTTACACGTCCTATGTCGATTTATCTTCATTGTTGAACACTTACGTTCATACAGTGGCTTTTATGAAATCATGAATAACATTTTTATTTCTCCATGACTTATTGGACATTCTCAATATAAAGGTGTCACACCAAAGAACAATAAATATTAACAAAAAAGTCAGAGTTAAAAACCTAAAGTGCAAGCCATGGGTTTCACAGGGTGCTTCAGTCACATATTGTAATTTTAATGTGGTCCTTTCACGATTTTTATTTGTAAGAGTTTTAATTTATTGAACTATATTTGGGACAGTCACACTATAACAGCGTGTCCTGACTACATACGACACGGCTCTGCGACATGCTATAAATCCTGTTTTTTCCATGTTAAAAGGTGTTTTTGTCCCAAACATCTGAGACGGCGATGCATTTAATGTCTATTTTAGAAACTCTATTTCAATGACATTGCAGCAGACAGCATACACTACTATGACAAAGAACACTTCAGGTACAGATGATGTGCATTATTTAGAGTTAAATGCTCCCAATGTGAGTTTTGACATTTATTGCCATAGTACTGAAAGCAGCAGCACATGGGAAAGCTAGGTTGCTGCCGGAAGTGGTATTAGTGAGACCACCAGGGGGCGCCCAACTTGCGGTTTGTGGGCCCTAATGCCCCAGTATAGTGACGGGGACTCTAAACCGATGTCCTGACTCTTAGTGGTCATTAAAACTCCCAGGATGTCCTTCGAAAAAGAGTAGGGGTTTAACCCCAGCATCCTGGCCAAATCTGCCCACAGCCCTCTGTCAATCATGGCCAACTAACCCTTCCCATATCATAATTGGCTTCATCACTCTGTCTCCTCTCCACCAATCAGCTGGTGTGTGGTTGAGGTCTGGTGCAAAATGGCTGCCGTCACATCATCCAGGTGGATGCTGCACGCTGGTGGTGGATGAGGAGATTCCCCCCTATTTGTAAAGCGCTTTGAGTGTCCAGAAAAGCGCTATATGTAAGGATTTATTATTATTACTATTAATATTATGGTTCACCATATTTAAAAAAAATAAAATAACTAGCAGATGTTTGAAAATTAAAGTCACAACTGAGATTCAGTGAAAACCAACAACATCGGTCACTCAGTAGCCTATTATGTTAAGGAAGTTTAATAGGTATTAACTAGATTAAAAACCTTTACCATTTCATTAGGAGAGCAGTGGCTGGTATTTAAAAGTTTGTTGCGTCTGTTTTTGCTTGTCATTGTGTTATTAGGATATTTGCCTAAAAATGTATACAAAATGTAATAACAGCAGCTTTTATAACAAGAGGTCCATCGAAGACAAATAAATGTTTAACCATTTACTGCATTTTAAAAGATTTCAATAGTAATTCTATTCATTTTTAAATGAAAATGCAACGTCATGTCAATAACCCATATTTTAGATTTATTTTAGGTCACTTGTCCCACATGGACAGCAACTGTCCAGACACACTCAAAAACCAGAAAGCTACCAAAACAGACCGAATGCCTTCAGGGCTTAAATCGAATAATTATGACTGCCGTTTAACAATGTAATGTGTATTTATATAGCGCATTAATTGTGTATGGCCATACTTCACAATCATAGGGGGGGTCTCTTCACACCACCACCAGTGTGCAGCATGCACTTGGATGATGCGACGGCAGCCACAGGACAACAGCGCCAGTGCACTCATTACACACTAACTATAGGTGGAGTGGAGAGACTGTCATAGAGCCAATTCAGTAGATGGGGAAGATTGGAATGCCATGATCGTAAGAGCCGATGGAGGGAATTTGACCAGGACACCGGGGTCACACCCCTACTCTTTTATGAGACGTGCAATAAATGACAGTAATAAATAAAATAACAATAATTAGCAATAAAAAATAACAACCGTTTCTTCTCTTCAGTGTCAGTATAGGGCGCGCTTTCACAAGCTGAAGGCATATTATCTGGGTTTTGATTTGAATTTTTCTGGACTTTTAACAAGTTTGTGGAGGATGAGGGAGGTCTTGGATTTCATCTAAAATTTGTTTTCTGGAGATGAACAAAGGTCTCAGGGGTTTAGAACAACATGAAGGTGAGTAATTTATATATAACTCACCCAATATTGTACCCAAAATAGGATGAAAATCAATCCATCATTTTTTTTAAAGTGTATGTGAATACAGCACAACACTCACGATTAATCAAAGTTGAATGACAGGTGACACAAACGCGACCCTCTTTCCCACCCAGATGAGTGAGTTTGTATCTCAGATCACAGCACACCACACAAAAAACCTACAAAAAACATTTCATACTTTAAAAAACAACAACTGTGGTTTCAAAAAATCAAATAAAACACAAGCACACGCATTTCTCACCTTCCCACATGCTCTGCAGTGATGACGTCTTTTAGTGAAGGAGAATTTGGATCCACATTTCATGCATGCTGGTGCCTGGGAATCAGGGACCCATTGAGGGGCCGTAGTGCCCAGGGAACTGCAGCGCTGCACTGGCAAAGCACCAAGAGACCCCTTCCTCCCAGAATCAATGTTCTTGGGGCCAGACACTAGAGACGCCTCCATCCCATCACTCGTCTTCTGGTCCTGGCATGACTCCAGCATGGCATCTGAGGGCTCTGTGGTGCCTGATTGGTGGGTGTCCTCCACAGGGGACGATGGAGGTCCCAGCACGGCCTCCAGCTGCTCCTGCTCATTCTCTGCTCTCTCCTTCTCTTCAATAACAGAGTCTTCTTTCAGGCCAGGCCTCAGCTTGCGCTCGTCCAGCAGAGATTCGCTGGAGTCCTTGAGGGTGGAGTAGCCGAAACGCCTCTCGCCCCACACTGACAGAGTGGCGGTTACCGCTTGCCTCATTGCCTCAGTGGAGAGAGCTCAATGCCAGAAGATTACTGATCATATTTTAGCCCAGCCTAAGCTTTGTTTTACCTTCAGACCATCACAACATGGCCCACGCAAAGTCCTGCCAAAAGATGAGTCAGATATTAATTCCCAGCAGCCCGGTAGATTTGTCAGGACTGTTTGGCTGTGTTTGTTTTAACCCAAAATGGCCTACTGTATCACATTACCTGCACACAATTATAAGTTATAAAAATGAAAAGATTCTGCATAGAAAACCACTGTATTTTCAGCTGAATGTTCTGCACTGTAAAACCCAAAAAGTTAAGGTAACTCAAACCATTTGAGGAAACCGATTGTAAGAAACCATTTAAGTTTAAAAACAAATCCTAATGAGTACTGTGAACTTAATCGATTTGAGTAAATGAAGCTATTTGAGCACAGTAAAACCCAATAAATAAAGAGAACTCAAACAGTTTGAGGAAATTGAATGCAACAAACCATCTGAGTTAAAAAAAAACAAATCTATATGAGTACTGTGAACTTACTTCATTTAAGTTGAAGTAATGAGGTATTTAATTAACTCATTATCTTCAAAACTGAGATCAAAACTCTTTTTAAATGAGTGGATTTAACTTTCAGTAAATTTTGAGTTAACTACCCTCATTTCATGTGATAAATTTGACTGTTTTACAGTGTGTAGTTTAACTGACAGTTTAGCGAGAGTTTAATATAGTTCTACAATATTGTGGTATATTTCTGTTGATAGTTAATGAATGTAAATACGTCATCGTTCATCACTGAATCAGATTATGGTTTATCTTTCTTCTTAGCCTTTTAAATATCCACAGTGACAAAAATCTTCTGGTTAAGGGATGTAGAATACGGTCATGCAGAATAAGGCATTCGTATGGGTTTATAGGTGCTAATAAACAGTCAATATTCAAGGCAAGTCAAATTGATCCAGATCCACATTTTTAAACAATATTTAGATCGTACTGTGCCCCTCGCTGCTGGAATCAGGGTTCATACACATTTTTACTACAAAAATTCCAAAACTTTTCCAGGACTTTCAAGTCAATTATCATGATCTAATGTTTCATGTAATGTCTACGTGCATGTGGTAAATCATAGGAAACACAATGAAAGTTGAAATTTATTACAGCATATCAGAAAACACAAAACAATCTCTTTAGTTTCAATTTATTTTTATATCTATGTAAAATAGATGATGCTTACACAGCACTAATTGTGTGAGAAAGTAAAAACATCTAACGCCCATTCTAGTATTCCAGCAAACTATTTTTAGATGATGTTAATAGTTTGTTAAACTAGTAATAGTAGATAAAAACACTTCTATTGTAAAGCCACAATCACACTGCACTTTTCTTTCCATAGACTTCCATTCATAGGCATGGGAATGTGGCAGACCAAAAACACAAACACGCGCGACAAGTTTCGCATTTCACTGCATTCGAAAGTTCAAGCTTGGTGAATTCTTCCCAGCGAAATTGCATCAGGTGATTACGTTAGATTAATAGAAGATCATTTAAAATAAGAAGTTTAAAATATGGAGCAATTGCTCACTTTTATTAACGTCTAATCATATAGTTTATTACCACACCTTTTCGCAGCACCATGCGACAGAATTTAGCAAGCACAAGCTCTGGTGTGACCGCAGCTTAAGTCGCTTTAGACAAACACCTTTGCTAAATGACTAATGGAAATGTAATTTCCATGACTTTTCCAAAACCATGGGTTTTTCTGTTTTTCCAAAACTTTTCTAGGTCTGGAAAATGCCATGTCAAAATTCCATGACTTTTCCAGGTTATGAACCCTGTGGAATCAGTTTCCAGAAATGATCAGATGTGCTCCAACATTAAGTACATTCAAATAAAGACTTAAAACATGTCTGTTTAGCTGTACCTTTGCTGAACTGTGCTGTCTGACAGATCACACTATTATGTCTTTCTTTTCTTTTTCATTCTTTTATAACCGGTTTTAACACATTTTTATCTGTTTTAATCATTTTTATTTTCTTAATTTATTGTTTATGTAATGCACTTTGAATTACCACTGTGTACGTCTATATAAATAAACTTGCCTTCCTTTATCTTTTTAAAATGGAGATTATATACAGTTTATTATTGAATATGAGGTGTCATGCATTTCGAAGATAGAAGGGATGACATTTTACTTAACATAAATATTAGCTTAAATTTAAGTTAATTTCAGCTAAATTTAAGGTTTGTATTCCCAATTAAACTTAATAGCCTAAATAAATATATAGTAAAAAGAAAGTAAAATGATAAAAGTTTAAAATGAGATCTTGAATCTTATAAGAAACTTCTTTTATATTAAAGGTTTAAATATAATCTACAATTGCTGCTCCGTTTCTCTATTTCTATATCTATAGGGTGCACTGCCTTGGAGAGATTTCAGATCTTCTGTACACCATGGTATTTGTTGCATGATATAACGCATATAGAAGTCAATCAATCAATAAGCATACACATTCATTTAAACATTTTAACTATTATTTCAGAGATATGAACTGTAATCACTGCTGTGCCACAGTTTTAGACAGAGTCTAGTCCAGCATCACTATTTCACAGAGGATTTGCTGAGTGTGCAGAATAACTCGTCTGCATGGGTGTATATGCAGATGCAAATAATCATAATGGTGCATTTGATCCAAACAACGCATGTAACTATTTATGAAACATACTAATTAAAATGCACAGAAACAAACGATAGATCCACAAACGTGCTTATGAAGATTGATTCTTATTAAGAGCCCGAGTTTGTCGCCTCACCACATCTCCAATGCCAGCGACGCGACAAAGAATGCGTCGCGCACCCGTAACGAAGCGTTCAAGTCTGAGCGTCGCACTTTAGAGTAAAAACGTTACAGCTATTTTCTATTCTTTGTCTATTCCAAAAATGTTAACCCAAAAGTTTGTAGTGTAGCATCTGTTACCGCAGGGGTTCACTGAATAAGCGTTTGGTTATCTCAACACTGCATTGCAGACGAGCTCCCGCAACCTTCAAACAAGAAAACATCACCGCTATATGCAGTTAACATGGACACGCGTTCCTGTGGTGATTCAGCATCACTCCAGTTTAGCATCACATCTGCGCTGGAAACACATGTGTGTTCATATATGGCTGATGCACAGCACTCTCGCCTGTGGCTGCTGTGACTACAGCAATGCGACAGAGTACCGTCAACAAGAGCCAATTACAGCATCCTCACATACAGTCATTGACTCAGAATAAAGCCCCCGAAAACTCCCTCAGGAATTAAAGATTAAATTTGCCGTCGACACTGACATACTGCATAAATAAATGTAATTAAAGTACATTACCACGATCTCTGCATCCCATCTTCGCCGCTGCACTGTTGACTTGTGCTCGTCATCAGAGCCTGCGCGCGGCTGCACAGCGGCGCTTGAGATGAACGCGCGTTCACGGGGGCGTCGCAGTAGCTTGAGAAGTCTGAGGGACACAATGTTACGACCAATTCTTGTCAACGTTTATTAACTGACCAAGTCTCAGTTCATTTTAATTATTGTCATCTTATGTCATGTCACTACTTGCAGGTAAATCTTGAAAAAGGTGCGGCCACAGTATACTATAGTGAAGTTTCGTCATTTCACATTGGAAATGGACTTTTTATAGCTTTCTGTTAGTATGCAAATTTCCTGAGCAACTTGAATTTGTTCCGTCTTAAATATATTTGGTTGCAATGACGGTCTATGTAGAATCATTGTAGCTATAGTTTTCTTCACATTATAAACTTTTTCGTAAAATTTCATATTTTCAAAATTTTTCATATTTACAGAACATTTTAAAACTAAACGGTTCTTTGGGAACCGAAAAGGTCCTATTATGTGTCAAGTTAACTTCAGTGTTTATTGAAAAATTAATGATTCGAAGATGATTCTTTGAATTTACTATTTTTTTTTTTAAGTTAAGTGGTTGAAAATTTATTTGGGCTGAATTCAAACAAACAAATTAATTTGAACCATGGGCGTAGCTACCAGGGGACAGGGGGATATGTCCCCCTCACTTGTAGAGAAAGACCATTTAGAAACAGATGATTAATAATTATACGAACGTAAACTTTTGGATCTCATACTGTCCTCCACACTTTTACAATGTCCGCTATGTCCCTGAGTTGAACATTACTAAATTTAATTTGTTTGTTTAAATTCAACAATTTTGCAGACATTATTTCAGTGTTTCTTGAACCTCTGCATTTGAGAGGGTTGTAAAATATTTCAGGGAAATCTCATCAACTACAATGATTGCAAATATTTGTGGATTCCACCCATCTCAAATCACCAATTCATATACACAGACTTATATGCATTCAGATTATTATAAATAAAATAGAGCTGGTCAATACAAATGAAAATGAAAAAACGTAAAGGTGTTAGTTCACCCCTAAATGAAACCTCAGTTATTAATAACTCAGCAACAGTTCAAAGACATTTAAAGTCCTGAAAAGGAACCAAAAAACATTGTCAAAATATTATGTGTGGCTTTAGTGGGTCAACTGTAATCATACAAATCTCCAAGAAAACTTCTGTACGTCAATAGCAAACTGTAAGAATTATTTGTTCGCCTTTTTCGTCTTTTACCCATCAGCTCAGGGTGGACGTTTCCAACAGGATGTATGAAGTATTTTTTTATTGGAGTCAGTAGTGCAATACAGAAGCATTAGATTGCTCGTATTTAGTAAACATGCACCCTAATCTGACGCAGTAGACAAAAGCTTAACAAAGCCTTTTTTTGCTGTTTTGCATGATTGTAACCATTTAAGTCACACAAAATATTTCCTTTTCATGGATTTTGATGAATCAGAGAGCGCTCATTTTATCAAAAATATCTTTGATAATACGTGTTAGGAAGATGACTGAACAGGATTTCTGCAGGTTTCAACAAGTTTAATTTAAGACTTTAAGACCATTATGAATGACATTTTAGACTCATACAAGGCTAAAAGCTAGGGAGTTTATTGAATGTCCCAGTTGGAAAGAAAGTATTTGCCCTATCAAACTTTTTTTTAATAGTTTAATAAATTTAATAATACAATAATAATAATTCAATAATTATATATATATATTAAATAAAAACATATTTTTATTTAACTGAACACTTTTTTTCAACATAACCTTTATTAAAAATAAAAAATAAAACATTTTAAAGGTTTTTAAAAACTGTAACAAACTAAAAGTATGCACAGCAATCTTTCCAGGAACAAATGTTATAGTAAGGAAAATAGTTAAACCACTATGGTATATAGAGCTAAAAAGTACATTCCTATATATAATTCTTTTAAAGTTTTATTATTAACAATAATTAATGGATCAGCGTTGGCCAGATTGGGCAGCTATACATGACCAAAGGAAAATTAAGACCCGTTTAAAAAGATTTAAGACCTTCAACACAATATTTCAATAGATTTAAGACTTTTTGAAGTCTAACATTTAGTTTTTGAGATTTAAGACATTTTAAGACTTTTAAGATCCAGCAGAGACCCTGATGAAGATCTCAGTGGATTGTAACAATATGAGGGTGATTACTTATTTATTTATTTTTATTTTTTTGCATTTTTGGGTGAACTAAACCCTTTAAGTTTGTAATGTTCTGAAGATTAAGATATTTCTCACTAATCAATAGATATGCAAGTAAGCCCAAGTTAGACTTTCCGTATATTTGCACTAGTAAAATCAATTCACTTCTTTATGAATCCATCTGATACGGAATTTTGTGTAATGGTAAACTATTTCTGCACACAAATTTTGGTTTAGTTAAACAAATGCTTTGCACTAAGCAGCAAAAAGCTTGGATTGAAGTTACTTGTGTAAAACAAGACTTACTGAATACTTGTAATGTGATCACACTTTTGCCATAACACCATTAGTAGGCAGCTACTATTATGTGAATATTGATATTTGTCATTTTAATAATCTTTGTTCTCAGTTTAAGACCTGATAACAGACAAGTTTGGTCAGTTTGAAGGAGTCTGTCATGCAAACCAAAAGTCATCAAAATCACGAGTTTTAATTAGATGCTAAATTGCTATTTTCAGCCCAAAGTTGTATCAGACCAGTGTTTATAGCTGGTTAGCATTTAAATCTTTCACTATTTCTCAATTAACAATTCTCTTATAATATAATATTCTCTTATTAATTACACTTCTGACCACATAGCAGAAAAACCAAAGCACCATATATAAAAGGTTTGAGTTTTATTTTTATTTAATTAACAGAAAACAAAAAATTAAGACTAATCTTCATTGCCGCAGTTGTCAAAACTAGTATTTCAACTAGCACTGTGATTAAGAATTACAACCGTGAAGCATTCAATGTAACCGTCCGTCTCTTTCTGTATAAATGCAGGCGAAAGCTCAGGAATGGATCTGATCTGGAACAGCCAATTTGTGATATAAAAGTCTCTGGATTCACTGAATAGTGTTGAAATGATATGTCTGGTCACTCTAATTTAAAAATACTGCAGGAGATTTCGTCCTGAATAGCCGTTACTGGAGGTCTGATGATCAGTTGGCCTCGTTCTTTGATGCTTCGTCGAAGTTCTCAACAAGATCTGTGAAGAAAAAAAATAAAAACACAAATTGTGAATGGTACATTTTACAGATTGTACAAATGAAAACATTTAAAAGGACATACCTGGGACATCATCATCTTCTTCATCGATATCTTCTGCCTTCGGAGCTTTGTTGTCCAGAACTTGAAAGACAATCATAAACAAAGATTATTGAAGTGGCAAATGTCAATATTCACATAGCAGTAGCTGTCTACTAATGGTGCTTAGGCAAAAGTGTGGTCACATTACCGATATTTAGTTAACTTATAGAAGTAACTTCCAAGCTTTCTGCTTTAGAGTTTCAAACAAAACAAAAAAATCTAGGTGTGGTATGATTCTTTTTTTTTTTTTTACTTAGTTTTTATTGATTTTTTAGGAACATAACCAGTAGGAACAAAACAAATAAAAAAAATACATATATACATAAATATACATATGTATACAAACTTACATAGGCCAATACAACCCATGTATATCTACATACACACACGTATAAAAATATTAAATTAACCTCATCAAAATAAATAGATAAATAATAAAAAATAATAATAATAAAAAAAAAAAACAGAACAAAAGTGGTTGTTGGAAGAGTTACAAAATCAAGTCATGATACGTTTGACATAAATTATCACAGATTATTTACAATGACATATTCAGACCATTTTTTCCAGTACTTGGTATACTTTTTTAAGTCAAATCTTAGATTAAAAGTGAGTCTCTCCATACAGTGTATTTCCTTTACAATTCCTATCCATTGAGCCCTTGTCGGAGGGTCAGCATGCAACCATTTTCAAGTTATGGCTTTTCTGCTACTTACCAAAAGGATTTGAATTAGGTACTTGTCAATAGTTGGAAAAACTTCTGGTATTTTCCCAAGGTATAATGTTATAAATGAGTAGTCCAATTCTTCTCCGATTATCTTTTTTATTTCAGTCGCTATTTCACTCCAGAGGGTTTGTATTTTTGGGCAAGCCCAAAAAACATGAAAATGGTTAGCCATTGAGGTTCCACATTGTCTCCAACAAGAGCCCAAACTTTCAACACCTGTATGCAATGCAGACAGTCTAGGAGTTATGAAGAACCTCATCAAATTTTTCCATCCAAACTCTCTCCAAGCTCTCGAGTTTGTGGTTTTTGCATGTGTGACACACATATCTGTCCAGTCTTCTTCTGTTATTTGTTGGTTTGACTCTTTCTCCCATTTTTGTTTTATGTAAATTGATGAATGAGTCTTACTGTTTTGTATGCATTCATATAATTTAGAGACCAGTTTTTTGTTTTCTTCTTTTATGTATGCGTCCGCAAATACTGTGATCAAATTAGAATCATCCTTAATTTTATTTTTAATTTTTTTATTAAAGTAATCTCTAACTTGCAAGTATCTGTAAAAGTCCTGCTTGTCCAGGCCAAATGTATCTGATAAGGTCTGATAACTCATAAAGTGTCCATTAGAGGTCACCGAACTGAATGATGTGATTCCTCTCCAAACCCACTGTTTAAATCTCTTATCTAGTGTACACGGTTGAAAGTCCGGGTCGAATGCTATCCAACTTAATATCCCATTATGCTTTTCTAATTGTAATTTCTTCAGTATTCTAAACCATAACTTCAAAGAAAACACGGTCCAAGTACTCAATCTACTGTAGTACTTTTCTGCTTGATTTTTATTACCAAGTAAGGATTGTAAAGGTTGATCTATTTGTGTAGTTTCTAGTGTTTTCCATTTAGACTCATAGCTTTGTATACACCAACATAGTAAAGGTTTTAATTGTGCAGCAAAAAAATAGTCCTGAAGACATGGAAGGGCTCTTCCACCATTTTCTTTTCTCAATTGCAGTGTCTTGAACTTTATCCTAGGTCTTCTACTA